TGAAAAGAACTGCTGATTTCTCAATGTTGATCTTTTACCCTAAAGCTAGTTCATAGATTTGAAGAATTCTAGTGATCTCACTTGCCTCCTTAGAGTTAGCTGTACAAAAAATTAACGAGTCATCTGCAAAAAATAAGTGGGAGATGGCAGGACCAGTCCTGGAGATTTTAATTCCTGTTAACAGATTGTTCCTGCAAGCAGATGTCAAAAGATTTACAAGACCTTGAGCACAGAAAAGAAACAAATATGGAGACAGTGGGTTACCTTGCCTAATGCCTCTAGAAGGACACACATAACTTGTTTTGTTCCCATTGATATTAAAAGAGTAGGAACAAGAAGATATGCACCCCTTGATCCAATTGATCCACAAGGGGCAGAACCCCATTTTACTAAGGACACAAAGCAAAAACTTCCATTCTACTCTATTATAGGCTTTTGACATGTTTAGTTTAAGAGCCATATATCCCTCTTTCTTGCCCCTCCTATGATTAAGCCAATGGATATATTCATGTGCTATCATAACATTATCCAAAATTTGTCTCCCTAGTACAAAAGCTGCTTGACCATTACTTATGCAATCATTCAAAAAAGGCTTCATTCTATTTACAAGAACTTTGGAAATAATTTTATAAACAACATTGCATAAGTTGATTAGCCTATATTGAGAAAGATTCAATGGCATATCAATCTTAGGAATTAGTGTCACTAAAGTTTCATTCAGAGCTTTGCACATATGGTCCAGCTGAAAGTAACTCTTGATAGTCTCCACTAGGTCCTTTTTAATGATACCCCAGAATCTTTGAAAAATAAGGGAGACATACCATCTGGTCCTAGGGCTTTATTGGGATGCATGGAAAATAAAACCTGCTTAATTTCCTTCTCTGTTACAGGTCTAGTGATTTGAAGGTTCATCTGTTCTGTAATTGTTCTAGGAATGCCCTAAAGAATCTCATCGAAATTTGTGGGCCATGAGTTTTTAAACAATTCCTGGTAGTATTTTGCCACTTCTTCACCTATCTCCTCATCTGTTTCACACCAACCACCTTGTTCCTTCTCCAATCTGGGTATCCTATTTCTCCTTCTTCTACTGGCAACTCTCATATGAAAGTAAGCTGTGTTTTTGTCCCCCTCTTTTAGCCATTTGCATCTAATTTTTGGGCCCAAAATGCTTCTTCCTTAGCATACTCAACACTCAATTTCCTTTTGAGGTCTATAATCAAAGATTGCTTGTTCTGTGCATTGCTTTCCTGTGTCTTCTCAATTAGGTCTTTGATAGCCTGAATGTTGGCTTTACTGTTGGACTGAAATCCTTTGTTTCCACACCTTGAGTGCTAGTCTGCATTCCTTAATTTTCTTTGTTATTCTGTATCCTGTGGATCCCAATTGTTGTTTCTCCCAGGCAAAATCCACCACCTTTTCTACTTCTGGATACTGCAGCCATCTTGCATCAAATTGGAACCATTTTCTCCATCTTTTCCTTACGGGTCTGGTATCCATTAACAGCATAGCATGGTCAAAAGCAACAGTTTGTATACGCATCAAATTTGCTCCACTATTGTTTCTGCACCAATCTACACTTGTTAGAGCTCTATCTAATCTCTCCTTTATCTCTTCCCCAGAGCTCCAATTATTGTTCCAGGTCCAAGGCAAACCTTCAAAACCAAGGTCAACAAGCTCATTTCTGGCAATGAAATTTTTGAACTTACTAAAAGACCAACTTTCTCTTGACTTGCCACCCCACATTTCATCATTGGAAACTATATCGTTAAAATCACCAATGAGCACAATTCTATTGTTCCACAACCTTCTTCTCTCAGTTAAGATTTCCCACTATTTCTGCCTAATCGATGCCACTGAGTTTGCATATGTACATATACACCACTAGCTGTCTGATTCCTGATTAGCAGTAATCTTAACCTCAATGGTGAAATCTGTAAACAAAATTTTACCAATCTTTAGTTCTTTGTTCCAAAAGATAGCTAAACCTCCTGCCTTACCAATCAGGTTAACCACAAAAATATTATCATAGTTGACTCTTTTTTTTTATTTTTTCCATCATGTTTTTTTTTTTATTTTTAGTTTCACTAAGAAGCGCCAGATTTGGGGAGTGAAGGTTACAAACCTCCTTGAGACTGGGAACCGTCAAAGAGCTCCCGGCACCTTGGCAGTTCCACGCCAAGACTTTCATATTGCATCGGGAGACCACTCCAGGCTGGTCTCCATCACCTTCAGCTCATTTTGCATTTCCGTTTCACCTTCCTTTTTGTTTCTTTTTGGATTCATTTCCTCCTCTTTCGTCATATGCACCTCCATTGGTCGGGACATTTTCCTTTTTCCACCCACTTCCTCTCTCACTGAACACCCATTCTGGCAGATTTCCATCAGTGGTTCCCTGTTCATCATGTTGCTGTTATTCCTTCTTCTGAGTTTGACCTCTCTCAGCTTGCTAACGTTCTTATATCCTTCGTTTTCCCTCTTCTGTGGATAGCTTTTGTCTAGAGTTTCCACTTCTAGTTCCATTGAGCTTGCCATGACTTTAGCTGGATTCGATACCTCTGAAGATGAGTCGTTTGTAGATGCTAATGTGTCGTTTATGAAGAATTGGTGGTAGTGGTGGTGGCGGCAACGAATGAGAAAGGGATAGAACTCTACTTTATGTTTTTTTTTTTTTTGAGGAATTCTGCAAATTTTGTTAGGGGGAATTTCTGTGCATGTATATGGTTGAAGCTTGTTCTTTGATTCCCTAAACGACGTGTCTAAGATTTTTCTTTCTTTTTTTGGATTTCTATTAATACTTCTTACCTATTTAGGCCCTATTTGATAAGTCAAATTAACAATTAAATTTAATACGTTCAGATCTTAATATGTTTAAACACATTTGATAATAAAAAATAAAACATCTAATTTAATTAAGTGACATTGAATTTTTTAGATAAAGCTTACTCCAAAATTAAGTTTAATATTTTCAACAATGTTATTGTGGGGGTAGGTGATTGTGATTTGGCCAAAATTTAAGGACTGATTGGTAGCTTGGTCAAACATTAGGGGAAGAAAATGTAATTAACCCAAAAAAAGACCTCCTAAAAAAACGTTCAAAAGAGCGTAAGTTTTAGTTTCTGTAACTTCTAACAGCGAAATACGAGCTACTGATCGTGTGCCACGACGTCCCAGGGTTCCTAATTTCACCGACTTTATTTTACTAAATTATAGAATTAATTACTTGTCCTCAACTGATTATTCAAGTTTTGTTACAGACTAATTATATATCTAATTCACCTGACATAAGTTTTTTTTTTCTCTAACGTAAGTGGAAGGGTTGGAACACAAGACTTCCTACTTGTATTTTTTCCCCCAAATTATCCAACCGACTCCAAGTTCACGAAATGTAAGTCATTAAATCACATGTTAAGTGGATTATACAAATCTTATCTTGAAATAAGAAATTGAGCGTATAGCAATCTTTTAGTGGCTGAGATTTACCAACTTTATGATAGTAGATAGAAACACCTTTGGGATGAAAAGATAATGATGTAGTTGAAAGCAAAAATCTTTTCAAGAACCCCTTTTTATTGGATTAATTTTTCCTACACTAGAGTGTATATACTATCAGTTTTGGATGAATGATAATTATATAATTTGAGTTTGAAATTTAAGTTTTTACATATGTATCATGAATCTAACGATACTGTCAGTGTATAATAAATTTACCCTTTTTTATTTGTCTAATTTAGTTAGAAGTTAAAAAAGGGAAAAGAAAATTGATTAGATGTTTAACTCTTCAGTTGACAAAGCACAGGCTTAAGTTCACCGTGAAACTTCAATGAAGTGATGTGAAACTTATATTTCCATTATAGTTTACTTTAGCCTATGATTTCTGTTATCTTTTCCAAATCAGTGATCACATGTCATTGGTCACGAGTTTATTGTCCACTCTCGATCTCCGGTCACGGGTCAAGATTTCACATGACTGATCCATGGAAATAGATAACAACATCTTTCTCCACATAGAGGGAAGGAAAAATGATTACTTTCTTCAAGATTGCCATAATTAAAACATACCTACCTCAACTTCCTAAAACTAAATTTACCTTCCTTGTTAATTCGTCTAAGTTATATTTTCTCATTTTGTTCCTATTTCGATGAGTTCACCTCTCTTAACATTAGTAAGTTAATTTTGGAATTACATGATTTTAACTTCTTTGTTTAATTCTTTTGCTGGGGATCGACATTGCTTAAGAAGGCTAAATCTAGAATTTAAGAAATTAGAGAAAACCATATGTTGTATGGATTAATCTTTACTACACTATCGATGTATACACTGACGATTGGATCAATATCACATCATCTAAATTTGAATTTAAACATCAAAATTTATATATGTAGCATGCATCTACACCTGATAGTGTATATACTATCAGTGATTTACCTTATTTATGTATGTGAGTTTAACCAAAAACAAGTAATAAATTGTAATTATAACAAACATCATCAGAATAGAGTCATTACCCTGGATATTTTATACGTGTGTTGATGGTTCCCTAGCCCCTACACAAACTTTTTGTCGTTGCTCAAATTGGATTGTAGTGTGGAAACTGCAAGGCTGAGAATCTTGTTAGTAAACCACAATTTTTTTTATCTACAAGCAGACACAATTTTTAATCATCTTTCACAACATGGACAAAATTTTGGTCAGATGGAAGCTGACTCGAATAGAAAGGGAGCATGACTTCTTGTCAACAAGTGCCGTATAGCCAAAATAGGTCCACAAAGAGTAGTTTTTATACTCCAAAAATACGCAATTTTTGTTGAGTTCACATCTGACAAGAACGTTTACTGGTTTGAAGGTTGAACACTTTGAAGTTAATAATCGTGAGTGACATGAAAAAGTACTTTCTACTTTTGACCTTTTCTGCTAAAACTTTGAATCTTACATTAGAATCAATATGTCATACATGTGACTTTCCTTACCCTTAAATCCAGCATCAAGAAAAGTTGTACGTACAAAAATCTATCTCAAATTCAGAAGCCAAGAAAGCTGAAAATTTCAGAAAAGAAAACTCAAGAGTATCAATGGAGTTGATACATCATGAAGTAGTACTCCAGAGTGCTTCTCCATACCTAAGTGCTCCCACTAGTCCAAAGACTCCAAACCGTGGCATGCAATTTTATACTGCACCTTCCAGTCCTGCAGAAGAAGCACTAGGGGATGATCTATTTTTTGATGATTTTGAGTTCTCAACAAGTCAAAAATTCGATGACTTCATTGATCTAGAGATCAGCCAGAATTCTGAACATATCCCGGTGAATGATCAGCCTCAGCAGCAGCAAGGAAAGCCAAGAAGAGAGCGCGGAGGATCACTACCAACAATGGCATTTGCCGATGAGCTTTTCTACAACGGCCTAGTCATGCCTCTAAAGCCTCCACCTAGGCTTCAAACGAGTCAAGAAAATGGAAACAGTTTCAGACAAGGGTCAGTTCCTTCATCACCAAAATCACCTCAGAGTTCAAGCTTTATTAAGGTTCCATTTGTTCACAAGGCCGTGTGGAACGATGATTTTGATCCCTTCAAGGTTGCGTTGCAAAAAGTATCGAAGGAGAGTAGGGGACGAGCTAGCAATGCCCGAGGTAGCCACAGGCGAACGAGGTCTCATTCACCGTTTAGGACGACTAATTCATGGAGATGGAATGATCAGCATGATGAAGCAAAAGAGGATAAAATTTTGAAAGATCAGGAAGTCTTTGGACAAAAATTTGGTCTGCCGAAGGAGCCTAAGGGCTCTCCTTATGCAAGGTTTGTTATTAATCAAAACAAGCAAGTGGAAGAAATCGAGAAAGGACGGAAAAAGCCTCAGAAATTGCAGTCTGGAGGAAGGATTAGGCCTGTGAAAATGGACCATGAAGAAAATGCAGTAGCTGCATGGAAAAATAATGTCACTGTGGAACGTGGAATGAAGAAGATAAGAAGCATTTTCTTGAAGTATGCATTATTTGGGAGGGAGAATAGTGACGAAAAAGCAAGTAACTATCAAAGCTCTACATTATGGAAGTCGAATTATTTCAAGAAATTAAGCTTCAAAGTCAAGGGAAACAATAATCCTAATGGAAACATGAAAAAAAGAGGGATAGAAGAAGAAGATCCAAAGATGCAAGTCATAGAATCCAAGCGCAACAAGCCTTCTTTAGCTCTTTGCTTGGGGTATGGATTTGAACACCATAAAAACATGGATTATAGCCTATGATACAGGTGAAGCATGTCCAAGAATAAAATTCCAGAACCACATATGTACTATTATTCCATGTTTTCTTTCTTTCCTTTTTTTTTTTGTGGCCTTCTTTTGTATATATTTTTTGTTTTTTTGAATTGTGGCGGTGCATCACGAGCTTTTTTTGTATCTGGATCGGAATAATAATCACTTTCTATAGTTCTATATATCAATGTTTGATCTAAGTTTGATGTAATTTTAACGGTCCTAATGGACCTAGATTAATGACCTCCTTCTTGCTAGTGAAATATTTGTCACGAGGAGCCTCACTCTTGTATTGTCCCTGATCTTTGGGTAGAGACAAATATTTATGGCATAATTTAAGCATAAATTATCAAAAGCTACTTACATTAAAGGAAAAAAAAAAATAGGGGTCAATTTGTTGCATTGATGTCTGTTTATGAAGTAGGTATATTTTTTGTCAACACACTAGGACACAAAATTATGTTATGGCGTTTATTTATCTAATTTTTTTGGCATATTGGGGATTCACCTTTCAATGTGTACTTGTGAAATAATAAAGCTGCAGCGAACATGGATTATTTGTCAACAATCTAAAATTTCTTGAATGTCTTCATCCAAACAATTTTTTAATCAACAGAGTGAAGTAAAATATTGTAACTTTTAGTTTGTCACCCTTTTCTTTTTCCAAGTTACTTCTTTAGGGTACTTTCAATTCCTGAACTTTTTCATTATCAAGTTTTGTTTTTGTCTACATCTATTTCTTTAACATATAAAATAGAAATTTACTTTTTGATACAGTAGAAAGCTTTTTCTCCCAAAAGACATGACATATACTGTTTTATGTTTAATATTGGTACAACAGAAAGTATAACACTGCTGGTACAATAGAAATTTCAAATACCAAATTTTCACTTCAGCAATACTTGAACTGTTGAACCCCATATCTTATTATTACAACACCTCAAGCTGGATTAGTTTTCCTTGTAAATTGGAAAGACTTCCCAGTTTGTAGAAAATATATGCACAATATGCAAAAATTCTGTCCAACAAGTTGAAATCCGCTGAGTCCCACGTAGATTCATGTTCTTGCCCATTGGACAAGTGTCTTGAAACCTACCACTACGAATATTCTATTCTTGACTCTTGATCTTATAGGTTGAAATTCGTTCTTGACTTGTAGATGAATTGTTCAAATCCAATTCCTCAAAAAATTTAAAAAAAAATTGTTAAAATCCAAATAGTCTAGAGGAAACTTTCCGACGGGGCTTCAAATTATTCACTTTGCATGATTTTGATCCCTCAACTACAAATTGTAGCAAATAAGCCCTTAAACCGAAAAAAAATTGTTTAGTTTAAGAACTTTCAATAAGTTCGGGAGTTAAATATAACGGAATTGGGGGCAAAATCAATCAAACAGAACAATCAACTCATGATTTGATCAAAAACCAAATATATTAAGTCAACTAATGAGTTGGAGTTTAATGTTTCTTCATATTCTTTCATCTTCCACATTTTCTAATTCCAATTTGATGAAATAATCAGTCAACCAGGCCTTTTAGGCTGTTTTAGTGGGCTGACTATTTTATTTGGTCAGCTTTACCCTAATTCCATCACCTCTAAAGTCCAAAGTTGATGGAAGTCCTTAAAGTAAGTATTTTTTTGTCCAAGGATTTATTTGTGATAATTTATAGTTGAGGGGCCAGAACTAGATAAATGCAATAGTTTAGGGTTTGTCTGGAAAGTTTCCTCAACGCTTTATAGCTCTAAAAAAATCCAACGTGTAAAGTACTGTTTTTTTTTTTTTTTTTTGGGTAGGAAAGACTTGCATAAAATAAAAGGAAAGGTTACAACTTAGCAATGTATCTGGGGAAACAGACTCCCCTAAAATCATCAGACAAAATAGATTCTAAGCTGAGAGGACAGGAATCTAGAAGTGAAAAGAGACACAAAAGCTTTACACCCAACTTTGCTAGTGCATCTGCTCCTCTGTTTGCCTCTCTGTAGATGTGCTTTACTTGCACTTGCTGGAAATTAGAGAGAAGGTACCTGCAATCATTTACGATAGGGGCAAGGTCATGACCTTCAGGAATTGAAGTGTTTAGCATGTTAAGGACAACTTCACAATCGCATTCAACAATCAAACGTTGGATATTCAAAGATCTTGCGATTTCGAGTCCATCTCTAATGGCCCAATATTCTGCAATCAGATTGTTGGTGAGGCCGAGCTTACGAATCGACCCTTTAATCTAAGTACCAAGATGGTCTCTTATCAGGGTCCCGCATCCACCGAGACCATGGGTGAGCAGGATCCATTAGAATTCAGTTTAAGCCATCCTCTAGGTGGTGGAGTCCATCCAATGAGGGCCTGGCTTTTGAGTAGGGGAAGGGGAGAGCGGCTTGGACCAATAGCGACAAATTCAGCAGCCAGATTTAAAGCTTGAATGTAAGGGAATTTCCATGCTCTAACGAGTTCGAACAAAAGTTTGTTTCTATTGTTCCAGAGTACCCAACAAGAGAAAGCAAGAATGACGCTCCAAGAAATGGAACCGTAGGGGGAGGGGCAGGAATTTTTGCAATTCTGAAGTAGCCAAATGTTAAAAGATTTCCAAGGGTGGTGAAGAAAGGGAGGCTGGATTTTATCCGGAACTCTAAGGCTCGGGGACATCCTCTCACCACATGTGAAGTATTGCTGAGTACACTCCAGTAAGATACCATCTTCCGGTCAGGGTACGTTAGGTATCAGGGTAAACTACTAAATAACTCTTAAAATATTTCAATTAAAATTGGTTCCTCATCTATTTCAAGTTTTTTTTTTTAGGGTATCTATTTCAAGTTTTAAATCGATTCTTCAATAATAAAGTTTCAAACGCTTATCCTTCAAAATCACCGCATTAAAGCTAATAGGTCTAAGGACAAAATTTGATAGATCTAATGCTTTAAATAGACTAAAACATTAAACGTTGATATTTTATTTTATTATTGATGGATAAATTTAAGATTGAAATAGCTAATGCAACAATTTGAGACAATCAAAATAGTTTAAGGCCTCCCTAATATAAATTTTCCGTTTGTTAACAAAAAATAATAATAAAATCCACATCTTATATGTTTTTATCCGTTAGGATAAAATCAATTAAAACCAATTTGTTGATGTGTTAGTAATCTAATTTAGGCTAGACCATTTAGTTTAATAAATCAAAAAGAAAATCTCAAAAATTATACACTACATAAGTTGAAAAGATGGTACTCCGAGGATGAAAAAGATATAAAAACAGGTGAAAAATGTTTAAAAAAAAGGAAGGAAAAGGAAAAAATGATGGTACTCTTTTAGCTTAGAGGTGGCAAATCAACCCACTTAACTAAATTTACCCATACCCGTCCATGAATAGATGGGTATGAGTATCTTAAATTTTTGTATATGAGTATAAATGGGTTACCCAATGATACCCATTTATTAAATGGGTATCATTGGGTAACCCATCAAACCCAATTAACCCATTTAAAATTCTCTTCCCCCCAAGTCTCTTCTTTTCCCCTACCTTTTTTTTTCAAATTTTTTATTTTGTCATGATATTAACATTATTATTATTATTATTATTATTATTATTATTTGTTGGTTTTATCTTATTATTTTATTTTTTCTTAGTTTGTTAACTTGTTCATTTTTTAGCATTACCAATTTATGATAAATTTTAGCCTATTTTCTTATCTTCATAAAATAAAATTTTAAATTTATATATGAAAAAAATGTTAGGGGTTCAAAATTTTTGGATTAAGTTTTTATATTAATTTTTATAGTACTTAATTCAAATTTTTATATTCGTATTATTCAATTATTAAATAATAGGTAATTTTCTGACATAGAGTATAAATGAAAAAAATTGGTAATTAAGTTTATTGAACATTATAAGTAAATATTTAAAACTAATGATGGGTACAAAGAGTGGTATAAATTGATAACTTAGTTTGCAAAAATGAATTTAAATGAGTTTGCAAAAAGTTAAAATAAATGAGTTATAAATGGGTAATTGGGTTACCCAATTCATTTTTTGATTTACCCATTTATACCCATCTAATTAAATGGGTATAAATGAATTGACTCACTTATGCCCATTACCCATTTTACCCAACCCAAACCCGCCCAAGTCACCCATTTTGACACCTGTATTAATTTAGCTCAAGGCACTTGTTACTATATGGGAGATGATTGTTGATCTCATCTAATGACCTGTTAAGAAGCTAAAATTGAACCTCAATTTTCATAAAATGTGTAGCTTATTTACGACAAAGTTGCAGCACAACAAAAACCTCAGGCGAATATATTATATATATACCAACACGACGTCGTTTTTGGGCTGCAGATTAACTGCCGTTATGCTCCTTTGACCAGCAGCCCTAACTTCTGAGGAATTTCGATTTGACCCAGGTCATTTTATACAATTCCGTTTTTAACTCCTTAATTTGACCTGCCCCTCCCAGCAACAAGAACAAGAGAGAGAGAGAGAGAGAGCATATGTCTGCTTCCCCCTGAGTTTCCCTCGAAAAGATTTTAGTCCTTTCTCCTTTCTTACGTTTGGATTAATTTTGTGTCGTTCTTTCTCCATTTTGCAGTTTCTCTAATTTAAATTATATTTAGGATTGAACATGTGAAGAAATTCCTGTGCCTTTTACTTCTCCAAGGGAGTTGTGTTTGTGAATTCTTGAATTTAAGGTTCACTTCCAAATCCATAATCATATTACTGTCAAGGTTTTCAAAATCAGGATCCTACCTAGGATCATTTTTCGGTTTGTAGGATCGGATCGTAGGATCGAATCGTAGAATCAGTAGATCCTACAAAAAAATGTAATAAATTGTTATATTTATAATTTTTAAGTTTGCAATTCATAAATATAGTAACAAATAATGTAATTCATGTGCAATCAATATAATTATATTGTTAATTAAGGTTAATTCATTTCTAAAGGTTGTAAACCATATTAATTTATTATAATAAAGACACAAAACACTAGCTCCATGTGATAACCTATAACAAAGATCATTTATTCACTTTAGTGAATTATATGAGTCAAATTTAAAAATTCATCAAATTTTCTAGGTTTGGAATTGGGCTTAATTATTTACATGGATTTAAAGCACTCTGAATATAGTTTACAACGTAACAAATGATACTCAATTTCGAGTTTTCTACACAAAAATATAGTCAAAATACTAAAATTGTTATTTAATTTATTGAAAATAATATACTCGTATCAGAATCGTAGGTTGGATCGTTAGTGTACGATCCGGATCGCGATCCTAACAACTATGATTACTGTTTTAGAGGCCAATTGATTGTAAGTTTCACTCTAGACACCAAAAAACACGTTAAAACATTTTTTCTAGTTTTTTTTTTTTTTTTTGGTAGGAAATTGGGTAGAACTTAAAAAGCAGAGAGGCGACGGGGAATCTAAACTTACTAAAGATATCATGCTAGTAATAACTAAGCCTAAGAAATTGATATTACAATATCATGAATATCATTGTGTTATTATTTACATTAACTTTTAATTCTTCTTTTCCCCCATTCCACCAGGAGAAAATGCCAAGAAAATGGTGGACGATACAGCTTTTGACTACTAGTACATCCTAGAGGGGAAAATCTTAATATAACTCCTGATACAATTACACATACTACAATGGACCTACTTGCATCAAAGGAGAGGAACAATTCTACCCAAATGATTCCCAACCTCTCCCCTAAGAGGAGATGACAGCCTAGTATAATACAATGCTGAATCTAGCGGAGAGTTCAGTGCTCCATAGAATGAACAAAGGAGTGCAAATTTGAGACTTGAACCATCTAGAACAGAAAATTTCTGAGCTTTATTCCAAGATTTCAGTTGGCCAAAGCTTTTTCCATGTTGAAATCTCTTCATTTCTTTGGAGATTTCGGATTCCTCCATAGAATCCATCAGCTTCATTTCCTCCTTCTCGATGGTCTTTTCTACTGAGAGTTGTTGTTCTCCACCTTGAACCAGGAGTGTACTGATTGAACTCCAGAACAACGCTATCTGTAGCACCAAGTCAGCAAAACAAACTCTGATCAGTACAGGAAAAATCACATGTTCCATGACAACTCAACAAGGTCTCAATAGTTGATACAAGTAACAGTTAAAGCATCAGCAGCAGAAGTAGCTTCTTCAGGGCTAAATCCTTTTTACTGAAGTTTTTCATTTTAACAGGACAAGAAAATCTTGGTACTCATCAGAACTGTATTTTTTCTCTTTAACGTCTTCTCTGTGTGATAAAAGTAAAATCAGCTGAAAACATGCTTTTACATGTGGCATTGTCCAGATCGTTAATCCAGGGAGTGGTGTTCAATGCAATTATATCAAGTCCAATGAGCAAAAATCCGAAAACTAATGAGGTCCAGAGGTTCTCCTGAGTGATCTGAAGTACAAGAATGGACCATGGTCCAATTATAATTGATTATGGGAATGGACCATGGTCCAATTATGGTCTTGTAGTATTCATCAGAAAGTGGGAACTCAACTAAAAGAATTATTATTCTCTGGATGACAAGGAGACATGAATGTGTGAAGGAAAAGTGGGATGCATCACTAAAAAAAGTCATTCCAGCTCCACAACCAAACACAGGGGCAAGGGAAACAGAAGTCTTTTTCAGCTTTGATTGGCTTTAGATGTTCCACTGAGACATCACTAATGACCATGTTGGCAGAAAACATGACATCCCGAAGAGGACTTGTCTAGGGGACCAATTACGGAGCACAAAGGAAAGACCCACATGCAGAAAGATAGGAGTCAATTTGGGGCCTACTTAGAGTTGAGGTCTTATTTGTGATGATAGTAATCTCCATTCCATTTTGAAATATGTTAAATTATAACTGCCTTGGTTCAATGAACTCAAAGAAGGCTACCAACAGGTGATGGGATGGGAACATCATTCCAACTTTTCCAACTTCTAAGGTCTATTGGGTGTATGGTTTGATGATTCCCATCTTTTGTGAGTACCTTCTGCTCATGTGGGATATTTTTTACCTGACTGCAAAGCTCTCAGGATCAGGGCCCCCTTCTAAAACTACCACAAGGAGTATACTTGCGTTTCTTACGTAATCCATTATATTTTGGTCATTTTCACCAAACTTGAAAGCATTGTAAGAAATGTTATTTCAAAGGAACAACTCCTGATTTACTTCTTGAAAGTCCCAGTTCATCATCTCTTCAAAGGGTTCTTTTTAAAGAGTTCTTTAGTTTTATAGATTCTTTAGAAAGAGAATAGACCCTCATAAAAAATGTCAAGCTGCTCACCACTTTCATGACAACGGCAGTAGTTGGAATTCCCATCACATGTTTCCAAGTGACCTACGACACCATACCACCAACCTGCACCATATGCCAGACATTATCATCAGTCAACAAATCAGAAGATCTGAATAGATTGGATCACATCTTGAAGAAGCCAATGAATATTGGTTGCGTTTCAAAGACAATATTCAATGAGGAATCCATCAGATTGTGCGATACATGTCCTATTGCTTTATCAGCTGACAGAACATTCTACCTAACAAGACTGACTAGCCACCTTCTTTTCTAAAGGAAATAAAGTATTTTCTATTAAAAATTAACTGGACACGTTTCTTTTGATGATCACATAGTATACTGCCAGAACCAATCAAAATTAGTGTGACACTAGTAAAATGAGCCCTTCAAGTCCAAAAAACAGCTAGCATCCATTTCCTATTGGTCCTTTGATAAAGGTTACATTCTTTTTCTATCTTACTAGTTGCTCTTTTATCTGAATTATCTGTAGCAACCAATTACCAACTAGCTTAATCAAGGAATATACCTACCAACTCAATGAAGTTTCTTGCAACAGCTCATCGTTATGGGAAGGGAATCATTTAATGGCATCTAACTGCCACCCTACATTCAGCTGAGGGGGAACAGAGAAGAAAGAAAAACAGGAAAAGGTAGCTATTTTAGGGATTGATTTACTACGGATGAAGTTTAAAGTGTTCATTTGCAGAAAAGTTTCCAATTTTGTCTCGCATAACCAGTGATTATATACTAATAGGGCAACAGAAGTTATTCTTTATTATGTGATAAAAACAGCTTCACAATCTATCAGTTATAAACCAAAATATGATTAGATAAGAGGGAGAAAGAAGCAATTGATGAAAGAACTAACCATAAGGGAATTCTTTGTTTCTTCTCCATTGAATTTCAATGTGATCACCAGGATGCAATTCACTCAAACAGTCAGAGATATGAAGATCATGTGGAGGGGTATCAACAGGTGGTGCTCTTATTCTGTCCCATGTCACATCTGTCTCCACGGCAACTGCTCTGTTTCCATGTGGAGGATATCTGCAGTAACAGAAAACTTCATTAACACCCCAGATAACTGAGAAGATTTCATTCACTAAACATTCGTAAAAAAACTAAAGAAAATGAACAACTGATATCTTTTCAATCACCTGGCCTGGAAAGTATCAGTTCTGGGATTATAGCTAAGTTCTGCATCGTAGCATGACAACATAAAACCAACATGCCCATGCTGCAAAAGAGCTCAAGAACTATCAGGAATTGTACAAATACCACACAGAATTCTGTAGAAATTGTCATGAAAAACTTGAAGTTGAAGAAAAATCAGTACCTCACGATTATAAATCTGAGCAGGGAACAACTTGCCAGACTCAAGAGCAAGATACCAGGACATTACTGAATCAACCGGAGGAGAATTCTTCCTCTTGGTTATCCTATTCTTTAAGCTGGATCTAACTAATGAAAGAGGCCATAATTGAGACAGATAATTGAAGGACCCTTTTGGCGTTGCTTGATTGAAGCAAGAATCTTTTCTTGTAGCAATATGCCACTGCCACTCCCTATGGGCAGCGGGGCCAATAATTCTTCCCCATTTCTGATTCATATGCTTTTCCCACAGATGATCACTCATACATCTATCTCTCAAAGACCGGCAAACAGCGGCCATACTACACAAGCCCTCAGGGGGGAGCTTCTCAAGAATGCATTCCAATACTAATTCAGGCAAATCCAATATGGACATGATCTCTGATGATGATGGTGAGCTTAGCTCATCAGCATTATGATGTACTACTGTCTTGGAACTGGTTTGAAGAGTTCTTTTCTTGAATGACATCATCATCTCGGAGGCAAAGAACCTGCTGCTTTTAATGGATTTGGTGAGGAGAGATAAAAGTGAAAAATCTTTCCAACACCAGAGTGAGAGCAATCTCATCTCACAAGCCAACAAAGGAAGTAGCTTGAAAGAAAGAGACTTGTAAAAGAAGATGATGAATGAGCAGCAAGTTATCAAGAAGAAAAGCATTTGAATGGTGCAGGATTCAAGTTAGGCATATACGTTATATAAATTGAACAAAAGATGTCTTAAAAGTTAGGCAAGACCACCAATTGTCCAAAAATGCAATGAAAAACAAGCGTAAGCTTCGAAAACTAACAGATATAGGATCTGCCTTTCAAAAGATAATGGTCAGCAATTGGATTGTCTGGACGAAGCCCACCAAACACAATGGTGGACCTCGCCAAAGTTCCTAGAAACTACAAATCAGAACAGGGGGAAATGTGAAACTCACATGTAAATTAGTAGTTTTTTCTTTTTCTACACGCTGAAAAGGTGGGAATTTGATCAAATGGGGCAATATGTATTCTTCAATGAAGCTTGAAATGCAAAATGAGAGCAAGGAAAGTGGGAAGAAAACAGATCTATAATGGGCTGCGGCCACCTGAAAATCCCAGGAGAAACGAAAAGAGAGCTTTCTTTTATTAGTCAAATATGAAGGCTTCCTCCCCTTTTTATCCAAAGCTCTCTTTTTTATGCTACCACAACTAAGGAAGAATCCAGGAAGTTGGTAATAAGTATAAAGATTGAGACAAAAAGTTAGGTGTAGCTAACTAAATAAAGGATTGATTGCTTAAACAAATCAAATTCTGTAATGAAAACAAGAAAATCTCATGTGGGTTGAAGAGGATAAAATGGAGATATTAATGATGATAATGACGATGAAGAAGATGGATGAACTTGAAAAAAGCTTTGATGGGACCCTTTTTCTTTCCAGTTCACCAAATTCTCACCTCATCAGAATTCAACCAAATCCTCCTCTACCCACAGAAAAAATGTAAAATTCTTTTCTTTTTTCTCTAAGAACAAGAAGAAAAATGGGTTGCAACTTGCTAGTTGTTCTGTTAGGACAGATTGGAGAAAGGAATCAAAATCTTTGGTTACATGGGCAGTTAATTACAGCTAAAAATAAAGGGGTGCTTTGGTTTCTTCTAGTATATACAAGTTGGGATAAATTTAGAAACCTCCCCTGATGTTTTTGATAATTTCACTCGGCTCCCTTCAGATTTATATAATTACAGAGACCTCCCTTAATGTGATAAAAAGACAACAATACCCTTCATTAATTGTCAACTCATTGAAAAACTCTTTCAAATATTAAAACTCTCTCATTTATTATCAACCAATAATTCAAACTACAGTCCTTTCCATTTAACTATCTATTCTCTTCTTCCTACATCTATTTTTCTTTCAAACTCATTTATTTATTATTATCAACCAAATGTATACTATCACCACTAATAAAATCACCATACACACCAAACCACCAATACTTACATATCTTGATATCTATTCCCAATTCTCAATTTTTCATTATTATTAAATAGTTTCATTGCACCTATTTTTGTTTTCAATTTTTTATAGGCATTAGCAAATTGAAATTGTCAAATGACAAATTGAGTTCTAATTTCATTACCAAATTAGATGAAGAAGACGATAGTGATAGTGATAGTGATAAAAAAAAATAAAAATTAAGGATAGGAAGTGGAATAGGAACTAAATATAGGTTATACTGTTATGGTTGTCGTGAACAAAAAGTGTTCTTGACATATATTTATAACTGCATTGTATTTCTATTTTTAATTTACAATTATTGATGTTATTCCTGTAGAGAGAATTTGATTGATTTTGAACTCTGTGTTAATCGAGTACATTGGATATTGATATTAGTAGTGATGGTTTAGATTATTTTGTATTAAAAAGGTGGTAGTCGTGCAATTGAAATTTAGGGATATTGATGAAATTGTTGTGTATTAAGTAAAATCTGATATTAATATGAGATTGTAGGTAAGTTTTTTGGTATCTGATGTAGCGTTTATAGTTGATACAATGATCTGCATTAAAAATTTTTAGGCAAAAGAGAAATATTATAACAAAGATAAGTGTTTATTTAATGATGATTTAGATGTTGATGAGTAGATGACAGTGATAGCAATCAAAGATAAATAAAATTGAAACTGTGAACCATTTTTTTTTCCTTTACATTTTTGTTGTGAATTATAACTCAAGGGTATTATAGAAATTTTGAGAAAAAGTATAGCCTTTTGGACCTAGAATGTTACTTAAATAGTGAAAATAAGAAAGGTGGACATAATTTTTAGAACTTGAGGGGAGCTTTCTGCAATAGTTAAAAACCTCAGCGGAGGTACGTGAAATTAACCCATAAAAGTTTGTGGACTTCAAAGCAGAGTGGGCTGCACTCTTGCTTGGCCGCCTCTCCCTTCCGCGTCCCTTTCTCTTTTCCCTCAATTTTCCACAACACACAGACACACACAAGCAACTTGGGATGGGATGGGATGGGATGGGAGGAAAGCCAGGCCTACCAGTGAATGCATCCGTTATTTGTTGGGATATAAATGAAAATCAGTGATGAAAATTGTATGAAGCTCATTGGTTTGAATTTCTTCCTTTTCTTGCTTGTTATAAGCCTATCACTGGCTGCTAAACTCATAATTTTTTGCCAACCACTTCTAATATACTACAAAGTCTTTGCCTACATGTGGATGTTATTATGGTTAAGAAAATATAAGGTGGCCACTTTACTTTTAAAACAATTATCCAGTTGTTTAATTTAATACGGTTTTCTTTTTCTTTCTTTTTTTTTGCATGAGAAGCGCACGTACACATTGCGTGATCAATATTTTATGGAGATTTCTTCATTAATTTAGGAGCAAGTTGTGTTGCCCATGGTCTTTGAACCTGAAATATAAGTCACTTTGATGTGCTTGTCTACTTTTTACTTGACTTGAAAAGTATAACAAAAATAGAATTTGAGACTAAAATGGAAAGCTTTTAAAATATGAGAGACAAAGATATTTCATTTTAAAAAGTCAAAGCCTAAAAAGGTGGAAGGTAAAATTTGCGTTCATAAATTGTGAAGACAAGTTGGTTAAGGAAACCTTAGTTTAACATGAGTTGCGTCTTGATTGTTACTAAATCTATTTCTTAATTAAGAGCAACCTCATTCTTTGCATCGCATTCTCCTAACGTAGTTGTTTGGATTGTAAATTATTTGAGATATTTTTACTATAACACTTTTTGTGATGTGATGTATGTGAGATAAAAAAGTAATTGAGAAGATTAAAAGCTGTATTGAAAATTGTAATAGTGATGTCGACAAATATATTTGGACAAATAATCTACTGTCCATAATGTAATCTACTGTCCCAACCAATTGTAGCTACATGTACCCTCAAAAACAAGCACCAAAGTAATGTGATTTTTTGTAGAAAAATTTTCATGTTTCTCATAAACATATTTTTTTAATCACATTTTTACCTCACATATATCAAATTACTACAGTATATTTTTCTAGAAAAACTCCTAAAAATAGCAATCCAAATGGATTGAACTTGCAATTTTTTCCAACTAAGATACCAGCTTGATTTTTCTATCTTTTCTTTTCTTTTTTCATTTTTTTTGTCGTTGGGGGGGAGGGGGGAGGTTGGGGTCCGTATACAAATCTGTCGGATTGAGGATATACTCCTCAATTATCAAGTCCACTTGACTTTCTTCAGTGCATATACACTTGGGTCCGTCTAATGTGGGCACTCATTAGGTACTCATTAGGATGTATTTGTAGTTCCAATGTCAAAATTTTTTTTAAAAAAAACGTAAAATTAATTAAGGATACCATATAAATGCAAGAAAGGTAATAATTAAGAAAAATCGTTCAAAACGTTCCTCACATTTTGTAAAATGACTTTTTTCATCCTTTACTTTTAAAAGTGTACTTTTACGTTCCTTACAAATTTACACTGGTCAAATTTGGTCCCTATCTAGGTTTCCGACTAGTTTTTTGTCGGAATTCATCACATGCCTTGCATGTGATTATTTATTAGGGTCAAAATTGTCAAATCAAAATTTACATAATCCATCTATAGTCCCTTACATTTCACAAAATGAATTGTTTCGTCCCTTACATTTCACAAAATAAATTTTTTTATCTCTCATTGACCACGTGTACAAATAGTTTTTTTTAATTCATGTATATATCTATTTGATTTCATCTAAACAGTACAAATAATATGTAATATATCTCTATTTGATTTCACCTAAACAGATTGATATATACATGGGTTTAAATCTAATAATTTTGTTTTAAACCTAATATATATATTTCACCATGTGAATCTATTCAATACTTGTAGCCTTTTCTATTTTAGTAATAATTCATTTATTGAGTTATTTAATAAGAGTATCTAATTAATAGGTGTTCTATAGTCATGCTACAAATTTCAGTTTAAATCTGAAATTTTTATTCGCTACTTTTAAGACCAACAGTTGAATTTCTTGCCTTTTGATTATTTTAAAATTTGAAAGTGTCAACTACTTACTTCTTTTTATCATACTTTTCCTTTGTTTATTTTTTTTGTCTAAATTTAATTCGATATAAACACTTGATAATGTTTAGAATTAAATGACTTCTTTGTTTTCAATTTTCAGGTAAAAGAAATAAACATGAGTGAAAAACTAACAATTTTTTTTAAACCCCTGTATATATCTATTTTAATTTCACATGAACAGTACGTTCAGGAGAAATCAAATAGAGATATATTACATGCTATTCATATTATTTATGTGAGATCAAATGGATATATACATTAGTTTAAAAAAAATTATTCGTACACATGAATAATAAGGGATGAAAAAATTTATTTTATGAAATGTGAGGGACGAAACAATTTATTTTGTGAAATGTGAGAGGCTATGGATTGGATGATGTAATTTTGATCAATTTTGATCAGAAACCTAGATAAGAACCAATTTTGATCAATGTGAATTTGTAAGGGATGTAAAAGTATATTTTTAAAAGTGAGGGACGAAAAAGGTCATTTTATAAAATGTGAGGGACGTTTTGAACGATTTTTCCTAATAATTATTAGTTTATACATTAACTGTCATACCAAATATTCAAATCTTGAATTTGACAATAGAAAAAACTCCAAGAGCTCTCCCCTAATCACTAGACCAACTCTAAGTGATTATTAATTAAAAAAGTCTATATAATTTGTTTAGGGCTATATTTGTCAGTATAAAAAACGTGGCTATGTTATGGTGCCAACTTGCCTACATATATTGGGGAGATTCCCACAACTGCCATAAGATTTGTACCGGGAAAAAAAATGCCATAAGATTGTGGCAGATCAATGTGTGACGACATTCTTTTCAATTAACTAGATTTGATGGGTTATAAACCTTTTTTTAATTTTCTACTGTCGTGTTTCACTGGTGGCATGCACCTATCCTAAGAGTACATTTGATATATTTATTGGTTGTTGAGATCTTGAAAATCTTGGATGGATATCCCATTATTGCTTTTAATTGGCTTATCAATCTAGCCCCTAGACGTTTTTATCAACAAAAAACTGAGTCATCCCTTTCCCTTGTTGCCTTTTTGATATTGATATAAGGCACAAGATTGAGAAAGTAGACTTTCCCACCACCTCCAATTTGAGAATAAGGGATGCAAGTCAAACCATCGTAAAAATAAGAAA